GGAATAGTGATAAGAAGCCTGGCTGAGTGACGGAAAGTAGCTTATATTGTTTTATTTATTTTCATGTTTCTTTTAAATTCAGACCTCTGGTAGAAGGTAGAGCTAACAGATATTTAAACACTTCTCATTTTCCAAACAAATTTCTTAAAAAGTCTAACTGCATTTGCATTTACACTTCTGCCCGCTCGTGTGTAATTCAGATTTGCGAAGCTTCCGAGGAGTGCCTGGTGGACATGTGCTGCCGGTGCAGATAGGATTTTCTAGGTTTTTGTTCCCTGCAACCTGGCACCACCAGATAAATTGCACAGCCCTGAGCAATCTGGGGTGCTTCCAGGCCGTAATTGTTTTATGGGTGGCATGTACTCGGAAAGTATGTTGAAACCCGGGTCTTTTGCAACGTGGGTCCCGGTCTCTGCCAATTTGATTTTCACGGTGATTTAGTGCGGAGGAGCAGGAACATCCTCTAGTGAGACCTTTGGTTCCCAGCTTGGATCAGCTGAGTGGAATACACAGGTGCGCGTGAAATGTGGGTTGGAGGGGACAGCACAGGTGGCCAGAAACGGGAGCGAGGAGGGCGCACTCAGCTCTGGGCACAGGCTGCACTTCGGTGTTATTGTTCTGTCCTTCACCGACCCCTGCTGCTTGTCAGTGCACACACAGCCGTGGTGGGGAACCTGACGCATGTGCCGGGCTTTGCCGCCGCTGCCGCCGAGTGTTCCTTTTTTTGAAATCCTTGGGGCCAGAACTCTTTCGGAGTTTGGATTTTTTTGGGGGTGGAATCCAAGTCTAAAGAATACTCATTTATATTTTACATATCCCTTATACATCGTACACACATAGCCTGAGTGTCACTGTGTACAGATTTTTAGTGTAACATGTTTTGACTGTGATGCTTCACGTGGCAATAGTCAGCATTGCGAAGCTTTGGGATTTTGCAGCGTTCTGGATTTTGCGTTAGGGATGCTGCCTGCTGTGTTGGAGCAGAGCCGCACTGGGAAGGAGAAAGCACTTGAAGCAGCACCAGGAGTGAGGGACCCCAGGTTCTGACTCTAACTGTGTCACTCAGCAGTGGCCATTTGTGTCCTACCTGTAAATCAGAGAGTTGGGCCAGGCCTTGTCTTCCCTCATTGGAACAGACCTGGGGCAGCCTGAGCCCCTCCTGGGTGAGCAGCACTGCGGCTGCCTCTGCTGCGTGGCGAGAAGTGCGCAGACAAGGCCGCTGCTGTCCCGTGTTCTTGCTCCCTGCTGGGGAGCTGCGCTGAGAACTGCAAATCCAGTCTATTACGCTGCATTGTCTTAACAGGGAGCTGTGGGGCAATGTGGGAATGAAAGTAAAATAAGATTTTTTTTCCTTCCCTCAATGTTTTTTTTAAAGTCTCAGTACCCAGATGTTTTTAAGCCTGTTGAAAAGTCCGTTCCTCCAGGCCAATACCTGGTGTAACTGAGGGACTAGTTTCCCATGCATTCATCCTGTAGTGTATAAAATAAACCACAGAAAGTTCTTGCTGGAGTGTAATATACAGTGTCAGTTAAAGCAGTGCTTAAAGGCTTAAAGTGGAAACACCTTTTCACTTGCTTAAGTAGCATTAGTAATTACAAAATGAGTCAGTCCTTTGTGACCATCCTGCTAGGAAGTGAGAGTGCTACTCACTGTCATAAGATCCCTGCCGCGCCTGGGAAGGGAGAAAGTTCAGGGGAGTACTGTGCAGCTTTTGACTTTCTTTGCGGAAACTTCCCTTTCCGTGGAAGCTTTTCTCTGCTCTTCCCTTGCTGCTCGCAGCAGTCTCTGTGAACTGTCAAAAGCAGTGTCCATTGGTTAATGAGGAGTCAGTAGCTAGGCTCATTTGAAATTTGTTCATGAATTGCTACAATATTTTCTTTATGTTTCCTGAAACATGTCGTTAAAGTAATTTGATACCTACTTTTACATACTTTACCCGTTTTATTATACTTTCAAACCAGTAGAGAATGCTTATGTCACAGGTGCATAAAAGAAATCTTAAAAAACAAGTATGTCGCACTGTGTGTTCTTTTTTCCACCGTTTTTACTTTATGAAACATTAGTTTCTTGGATTAGGGTATGATGTTTTTGGACAGTGGTTGCTTTGGTTTTTAATCACAGTTTTTGACGAATATCTCCTTTTATATGAACGTTGACCAAGGAGTCAGGAGACATCGTTTCTATTCTTAATGCTACCGTAAAAATACTGGGTAACCTTGGATCAACCTCCTCATGTCCTTATACTTTATTTTCTTCGTGTATAAATAATGAGGGAGGATTAGATTTAAAGATCTGTATGGTCTGGGGTGGTTCTAAAGCATAGCTTGGGAATTTCGGTCTTTTTTTGAGAAAAAAAGTAGATTTTTAAAGATGCAAGCCTTTCTTCCTGCCTTTTCCTGCGTGTGTGTTTTTCCAGCACCCTTGTCCTTCCTTCTGTGCTGCTGCTAACAATATCCCTTGGCTGTGTGCGGCCTGTCCTCTCGCCCTGCTGTACTAATTTTAATTACCCTTTTTGTTTTGGATTTGTTCCATATCTCCTAAAACACAGAATGAAAGCAGGGCCCACAAGTACACAGGCTTCTTAATACTGAGTCTGGTCTTGTGTAGCATTTTCTTTTCCCCCTCAAAGGAAGTAGATTTACCTTCTGAATTAAAACCTTGCACCGCTTTCGCTCTGCTGCGGTGAAGAGTGGTGCCCTGAACCCTGCACTGAGTGTGTAAGATGTGAATGTTGGCTCTGCCACTTACAGGTTGCTCTGGTATTTTTAGGCCAGTCCTTTAACCTCCCATTAAACCTTGGAATATCTGTATACTTTCTTAGTGTGTCCTTCTGCCTACAGGGCTGCGAGGATCCAGTGATGTTGTAGATCTGAAAGTATTTTCTAAAAATAAAAGTTTATGTCTGTACTGGAGTTTTTTCTACCCCAGAATGGTATGTGTTCTAAATTGATGACCTCGGTATTTGTGGAGTTCCTACTCTGCGGAAAGTCAGGAGTTCATGGTTAGGTTGGGGGTTTATATAAAGGGTTAAATATCATGAAGAAGGTACAGCATAAACTTCGGTGAAAGTTTGGGGCGGTAATTTCAGGTTGGAGGTATTTAACATCAGCATTATAATTTCTGTATTTATTTTGTAGATCATTATGTATTTTAAAAGCTATTCTTATACTTAAGTGGGCTTGTTCCATATTATCCCATTGCCATTTGAGTTTTTTTCACAAATAGACTAATTTAGTTGTTTTTCTGTAATTTAGCAGGCACTTTTTTTTTTTTTAAGATGACTCTAGTGCTTGGTGCCTTTTGCCAGTTTTAATGGATTTAGTTCCGTTTCTGTCTTCACGTTTGTGAGTGAAGGTTATTAGATGAATTTGGATTGAAGATTTATCCTTTTAGGTTGCTATTTAAAGTCTCCAAGCTTGGCTTTGAAATTTTGTGTGTAACTCCAGGGCTGTGTGCTGACGCGCAGCCTTTATGGTCTGCTGAGGAGACTCCTAGGGTCTCCTGAGGCGGTGACCACAGCTGCTGCTTCCAGTCGTGCAAGTCCTTTCACCCGTTTACCTGGCCCTGCTAATCTGCAAGCTGCTGTGACTGCTCCCTTCTCTTTGTGTTAGGGCTCATGGCTCCTCCTCTAGTGCAAATAACATACAGAATGATGTTGTTATAGTTACAGTTTGTTAAATAACATTCACAGTGGAAGTACGCATTTGTTAGATTCTGGATAGCAGAGATAGATATTTCTGTTGTTTTTAATGTCTGCAGGTAGCATAGAAGATACAGGAGGAAATGACATAAAAGTCATATTGACATTAGGATTTATTTTTATTTCCCCATTTCCCTTAAATTTGTATGGTAAGTTGATAAAATATCTGATTATCCAAGTAGAAAGTACTGAAAAACAATAATAAAAAAACCATCCTTAATCCTACCCCAGTTATAATCTCTTATGAACTCTACTGGTCTTTCTAAATATACGTGTTCAACTTTGTTAGGCGTATGGTGCTGTTTCAGTGTTTCACAACCTCAGTGCCACCTGCTACTTCGTCAAAGAGCCAAAATGTACTGCGGTAGAAACAACCTTCATTCTGTAAGGGCATTTTTTTTTAACGCCTGTTATGTTAGTGCCTTAGCAGTTGTTACAAATACTTCATCTCTAATGCGGATGCCTTGCTAGCACTGCTGGTGGTGCTTGACTCTGGGTGGACCTTGTGGGCAGTGTGAGAGTCTCCACGTGCACCTCAGATATTACTGTAGTTTGCGTGGCCTCAGTTACGTGCTGGTGCTATGCACATCCCTTCTGTTGGTTTGAATAGAATTCCTAGTTGTGTTTACTATGATTTAAGGATTTTTCCCCCACTGCCATGCACATGCCAGGCTTTTGCGGCTGCTTTTTCAGTCCAGAATTGTGCATTGATGACAGCCTGTCAGTTCTGACTCCGAAGTCACTCTGCTGTGGGTCTGGGCCTTTGACTCTGAAGTTCCTGCCTTACTTTAAGTTTCAATTTCTCCATGGTATTATAGGTGCTGACCTGTTGCCTATGTTCTTTCCTTTCCATTCTATTGTAAAACTGCAGTATTTTCTGCCCATGTGTGATGTTTCTTACCTCCTTCTTTTGTTTTGTAATGGTTTTCAACAGCTTATTTTAGAAAATTTGAAAACTACATATACCTGGAAAATGTATTATAGAGAAGTGAGCTTTATGGTATATTGTCTTTTGGTTTATCTGCGCTATGCATACATCATTGTGTATAGTATGCTTTTGAAGTTGGGTCATCTGGGCATTTGTTAATCTTTTAAAAAATATTCTGTGCATATTTTCTTACGTTTTTCTACTTTTTTTCTGCTCTGTAATGTAGATGCCTCATTACTGACAGCTGTTTTTAGGTAGAGCGTGTGCCCCGTGTTTTTAGCTTTTAACATTGTATTAGGGTTTGGTCTGCATTATGATAGGTTATAATAGTTGTTGTATTAATGTCATTTTTTTCTCCTTTCTCTTTAAAGGCAATGTAGCTTTAGATAATCTACAGATAAAAGAAAATGCTCTGGTAAGTCTTTTTTAAACTATGCTAATGACTCAGTTAATTTGGTTCCTGGGCATCTGGTACCAGGTACCAGATAAAGTGATTGAATCACTTTATTTAACGACTTAATGATTTTCCATTGGGAACCTCAGTTAAAAAATAAAGAAGAAAATATCCCCTAATGATCAAGATAGTATGTTTTGGAAAATGGAAGTTGCTTTGTAATCTACATTTTTCTTACAGAAATATTTTTCTTCAGAATTATCTTTACACATTTTTCAGCAAAATAAGGGCTTGATTTTTTACAACTATCTAATAGTTGTAGTCTAGCCTTATCATATGGTAATAATAAGAAATAAAAAGGATTTTTTTTTTTTACACTGGCTCCAGAAAGTCATTTATGTCATCTACCGTGGAGCAAACAATTCTCCTACCCCTGTTTGACTTCTGTTTGTCTTGTTGGGTTAAATTTGCATTTATGAAGTTGCTTAAGGTTTATTCCTCCAATTTCCAGATTCCTAATATTTAATTTATGATGTCTTCCTGCATCAGTTTAATCATCTTTAAAGTAGAATTAATTTATAGCAATAAAGTGTCTGTGTGTTTTTGGCTTGAATAAGATGAAAAGTGAGCCGGAAAACTGTAGGTCTTCAAAGTACTTAAATCGGGGGCTGGGGATATAGCTCAGTGGCATAAGCGCCTGCCTAGCAAGTGCAAGGTCCTGAGTTCGATCCCTGGTACCAGGAAAAAAAAACAAAACAAAAAAAACCAAAGTACTTAAATCATTTTTCCTGTGTTTGTAAGGTATGTAACAACTTTTAAATTTTATCCAAAAATTTAGTACTTTTTGTTCTATTGGTACAGATTGGAATAAAGCTTATTTTTCTCAGTTTATGACAATATTTTATAAGAATATAAGTAGAATTACAAGGATTGGTTAGGTTTTTTTTTTTTTTTTTTCCTGTACCGGGAATCGAACTCTCGACCTTGCGCTTGCCAGGCAGGCTACAAGGATTGGTTAGATATTTAACATACTTAGAAAACAAATTAAACTCTTAGCCTAATTTGAAGAATCTACCTTTTCTTTTAAAATTGATTTATTCATTTACTAAATATTAGGAGAAAATTGCCCAGTTACTGTTTTCAGCTGCTGTATGTGAGGTGCTGTTCCTTCTCTTGTTCTGGCATTTCACAGAAACTGTGTCCCTCTGTTTAAGTTAATGGAATTATGTTTGATTTGATTTATTAAAACAACCAGTTTATTCACCTAGATTTTTTAAACTACAAGCTCTTTAAATTTTTCTTGTTAATAGTTTTCCTTGTGAATGTTTTGTGCATTGTCAAAGTTTAGTAAGGGTTTTTTTTAGTACTAGGAATTGAACTCAGGACCTTGCGCTTGACAGGCAGGTGCTGTGCCACTGAGCTGTATCTCTACCCTCACCCCCTTTTAAACCATAAGTCCTTTTCTGAATTACTCCAGTATAGAAAATCTGTTCTTTATGTGGGGCTATTATCTGTATTTCTGTATTTACATCACAGTGGAGTAACTTTTGGGGGCTTAATAATGTACGATGTCTTTTAATTTCTTTTTCCTGAAGAGTGGATTGGACGTTCCTTTTAAAGTCAAGGCTGGGCAAATTGGTAAGTACTTAATTTTTCATATGAATTATTCCTTTCTGTTTTTTATTTTTTTCTGTTACTTAATCTAAGAAATCTTTTTCAGCTTGACTAAAAGTGTGAGAAATTTTTGGCTTACATTACAGCTTGTAGAGTTCCGAACTTAATATATATAATATATAATATCTACCTGAATGTTTTGGCTAACGGGTAGAAAATTACTAAGATGAAGGGACATTTAACCTGCATTCATGTTCTTCAGGATTGGTTCCACTGTACAAAATACATCGTCAGCTTGGTAACAGACACCCACATTTTGTATGTTTTTATATGTGAAAGTAGTATAATTTGCAAACTCCATTAAATAAACTTTATTTGTTTTTTTTTTTTTTTTCTCTGGTACCGGGAACCGAACTCACGACCTTGTGCTTGCCAGGCAGGCACTTTTGCTGCTGAGCTAAATCCCCAGCCCCTCCATTAAATAAACTTTAAATGTAGCTTATTTCCCTCATGTTTTGTTCAACCATTTTCACTTGCTGTATTATGCAGCAATGTGGTATGGATGATACGTTTTGGTAAGTAAAAAGTCTTTTTCTTTGTGGCTAAATTCTTACACTAAGACCATATACAACTAAGCATATGTCTTTGCTTAAGAAAATTTTCAGTAGGAAATTTAATCTACAAAGTTCTCCCAACTAATCCACATTGCCTAAGATATCTAACTGTCTATCTACCTACCTACCCATGGGTGCCTTACTCATGCTGTGGAATTTTTACTTGTGCCATATCCTTCTTTTTGAGACAGAGTCCCGCTATGCTTTTCCGGCTGGCCTTGAACTCACTGTGTAGCCTAGGCTAGCCTTGAACTTGCAACAATTCTCCTGCCTCAGCTTCCCTAGTGCTGAGATTAGAGGGGTGTGCCTCCATGCCCAGCCTTGCTGAATCCTTCTGTATCCCAGGAGTGTATCACATTGCTTCTCCTCCTCATTCAGTATTCACAGTGTAAGAGGGCTTTGTCCTTCACTGCTCCAGTGCCTTTGCAATTACTTACCTGGTGGGCCCATTTTATCACTTTTCTGTCCTATTAATACAAAGGAACATTTTCGTGTTTTTGTCATTGGAAATAAGAGATACTCCCTTATTTTGCAAGCGTCTTGAGGACATGTGACACCTTTTTTGTTTGTATGTTAAGTAGTGCTGACTATTGTTGTGGTCTTTAGCAATACTCAAGAGGTGTTGTTGGACTCTGCATGCTTGATTGAAATCCAGCGTGTAGAAGTTAGAGCCATGTACTTATCCTTTTACCTTTGACGTATTTAAATGCGTGTGCTGTATCTAAAACTAATCAGTTGTGGGAGAGGCCAGGGTGAATATGGTATCTGCCTTCAAGGAAGTTACGGAGATCTAAAATTGGGACAGAAGTTGAAATTGCGTTTCTAATATAGTGGATGAGTTATAGTTGACTAAAGAAACTTTATGTCATTCAAGTGTTCTTACACTTGAATAGATTTGTATTTTGGAGGAAGTTTTCCAATGGTTCACAATTTGTTCTGTTTGATTTTAAAGTGTCATGAGGACTTAATACCTTTTCCAGGATTATTCATTGAGTATTTAGAGGACCATTACATATTAGGATATAAAGCATATTTTATTTTTATTCTTTTTCTTGATTTATGGAGCATTTATATAAGTTACTACATTTCTACTCAGGTGAAAATACTGCACCTAACCTGTAGAGTCAGTGTAGCTAAGTAAACTCAAAGATGATTTGACTGTCTAAGAGCTAATCATATATGTGAGTGAACCTGGGTTACCCTGTACTTAAATTAGAAAAAAGTTCTTATCTGTGAAAGGAGGGATAATATAACTAACTGAATTCCAGGACCTTCTTGAGTGATGAGAGCTAATGAGTTAGGACAAACAGAGAGAAGAAAAGGTTTAGAGGACAAGCAGTCCTTTTTTGGTATGGCAGAGGGACATGTCCCAGTCTGACAGTCTTACACTAGGAAGGCAGTCAAGTACATTTTGTTACAAGAGTATGAGATAACTGCAAGTAGTGTTTCATAGATATATACAGTATTATTTCACACAGTAGTATTCATATAGTAGTAGTATATATCTGTATCTATATGTATGCCTGTCTATATATATATCTGACACTCACTGTAAAAAAGTATGATAGAAAGTGACCTAGAAGCATAACGGTATTACCACCAGATCCCCCGACCTCACAGCCATTTAGAAACTCAGCATGTTTAAAGCTGGAGAGAAATGGAGAAATAAGTTGAGCATTTTAACGCCAGGATTAGATTCTCAGGGAATGTTGGCTTGCCCGTGGAGCTCCTTAGGTGAGCAGGTTAGCCTCCCTTACAGATAGTGTTTTATTCCCTCTTAAGGTTATTATGCTCTTTTTCAGTTCTTTGAGCTTTGGACACCTTCAGTTACAAATGCCATTGATTCTTGTACTGTGGTTTAGTGTGAGTTGAAAGATTCTTTTCTCCTGAAAGTCTTGATCAGTAACACTGAGAGAACTACAGATTTTACAATATCATTATTTTTAAAAAAATTGTGAAGAAGGAAGGTGTTTTATTTTTGGAACATGGGAAACATCAGGGGTAGGAAAGACCTGAGCAGAATTGCTGTTAATACTGTTCAGGGGAGAGGGGGCCATTAGCTGCCTGGAGACCTGGGCAGATGGATACCAGAGATGGGAAAAGGATGAAGGAGGAGATGAGAGCAAATACCCAAAGCAGATTCTGTCCATTTCAGACTTTAGCTTTCTTCCTCTTGCCCTGGATACCTTTCCCCTGTGGAATCCCAGGGGATTAATAATGTTACGGCCATAGTTCACCTGCATTGTGAGTGAAAGTTTTTGTGGTCTCCTCTCGAAGGACCTGACATTAATAACATTGTGTCTAACAGAGAACAGGTATTCTGCTTCCGAGTGGCCTACAACACAAGTTAGGAATAAAACTGGTCTGGGTTGAGTGCCACTATTAACATATCGTAACACTATTCGTAAAGCGTTTATCTTGTCTTTCGAGCTGGCCTCTTCTCATTGTGGCAGTTCTGTCCCTTGGGACTCCTCCCTGTGTTGCTGCTTCAGTTCCTGGGCTCTTGCACAGATACTGTTTTACACTTGTCCCGTGGAGATTTAGTTGGTGCGGGTGGACGAGCATGGGCCCATCTGCGGAGTTCTGGGTGCTCATTGATGGGCTGTGTGGATTGAAGACAATTTAACCTCTCTAAGACAGAGTTTCCTCTATTAAAAATTGAAGTAATAGCTGCTTCATTTCTCTTACTGTTTTAGAATATTCAGTAAGATTTATCAACAAGTTTGACAAATATAGAGCATAATGAGAATGTTTATTTCTACTCGTAATTATATGGAAAACAACTTTTAAATTCTGGTGATGGGATTTTTTCTGAGTGATGTATTTACCGTATGCATTGAGTATGTATGCCATATTACTGTATGCATTTTGATGATCCTTTTAATGAAAAGAAAGAAGTTTTTCTCCTATTGAGCAGTGAAGTAGGGTTTAAGATTGAAATTATGTTTCTTTAGGTAAATTAGCTTTGAAGATTCCTTGGAAAAACCTTTACGGAGAAGCAGTTGTTGCGACTCTAGAGGGATTATACCTGCTTGTTGTCCCTGGAGCAAGTATGTTACTTTAAGTTATACTAATTTGGTAACATCATAGTGATATTAAATTGTTGCCTGGGTTAAGTATCTAACGTATTTAGTAAGATACAAACATATACACATACATAGCTACATTGTATATAAAATATCTCATTATTATAAACAATAAATACAGTGTTTCAAATTTATTCTCTATGAGTAATTATTTTGCATCTAAGCTTTCTGTTGAGGTGCATTAGGCATATACATTATTAGGGAATGAAATGAAATAAACTGTTAAAAGTGTACCGTTGTGTTTGTATTGATTTCAAGATAGGAAAATTTATTTTTTTATCTTGTTTCATTGCTTCTGATTTTAAGTGAATGTTCTTTCAAAAATTTGTGTCAACTGAGGTAAATTTTTAAGGAAATTATATTATTTTAATTTTAGTGAATGTTTTTTGAAATACTGTAGTTTAAATAATACCTTTAGTTTTTTTTTTTGTTTTTTTTTTTCACTTGGACAGTGTGATAAGAAAAATTTGGATGTTTTAGGGAAAAATTACTTGCAATAATTTTCCAGGCATAGGGGCTGGGGCCAGCTCAGTGGCACAGTGCCTACCTGGCAAGTGCAAGGTCCTGAGTTTGAGTCCTGGTACCAAAAAAAAAAAAAAATTCTTTTTCCAAGCATAGTACAAATACAATTTTCAGTTTTGTATTTTGCTTATAAATTTTTACCATATACATTATAGCCCTTCAAGTATAAGTTATCCTGTTATATATGCAGCATTGACCTGTCTTTCTTGCTTGATATATGAAATTTTTGTTTCATAGTTTTTCTAGTAATAGTGACAATTTTGAAAGGCCATACTGTGTTCCTTTGTGGCCTGCCTACTGTTTTATTGCCATTATAGTGAATGCAACAAGATTTCTTTTTTCAGCTTATGTGCTGCTTTACTGAATCAGTAGAAAAATGGCTTAAAAGTAATAGATACCCTTCATATGTTCTTTTATGTTATTTTCTTAAGATGTCTTAAAAATAAATGTCTTAAAAAATGTCTTAAAAATAATAGATACCCTTCTTTACAAATCTTTTCATGTGTTCTTTTATGTTATTTTCTTAAGATACATCATCAGAACTGAGATTTACTGGATAAAAAGGGGATATATTTTTGTGATTGTTGATACATATTCCTGAATTAATTTTGAAAGCCTTTTTACCCATGTACATTGATGTCAGGTGGTGTTAGATTTAAGTCATTTTTGCAGTTACTGAAAATACTTCCCAGTATGAAGTGGTGTCGTCGCCAGTCTGCTCAGGCGTTTGTGTCTGCCTTCCGTTCCTGTTTTTGTGTATCTGCACAACCTTCTTCCTCCTTTCCTTGTTTCATCTTTGTTTCTCTTTGTAGTTCTCCCCGCTTTGTTTCTTGATTATGTTTAATAAATCAGTGGAAGTCACTTATATTTAAATATCTGGAGGAGCTAAAGAATGCAGAAGTGGTTTTGAATTTAAAAAATATGTTATACATACACATGTTGTACTGAGCTTTTCACGCTTACTGGTTCCGTTTCTTTCGTGTGATAACTGCATGTTTTCAGGTATTCAGTATGATGCTGAGAAAGAAGAAAAATCCTTGCATGATGTTAAACAGAAGGAGCTTTCCCGAATTGAAGAAGCCCTTCAAAAAGCAGCAGAGAAGGGTAAGTGAGCTTATGTTTTAGATCATTCAAATGTCCTGTGTCTTCAGATATATTTAATGTTCTCTAAATTAAAGAGGATACTTTCATAGGCCTTTTTAAACTGCAGTTCCACGGAGAGATCTTTTAAAGTCCTATCTCAGAATGCTGGTGTGAATATTTTAATGCCTCACATGGAGGTCAGGTTGCCTTTTTCTGTCATTGTTTTAGCTCACTGCGGGTTTGACTTTCCCACTTTGGTTAAATGTTTTCACTGTGCTACCTCTGGAAACTTTCAAATTCTGTAAGTTCCCACAGGCCTGTTTGTCTTGGCCAAATGTTAAGAGATTTTTTGTGTGCATTTTTATCTGCATATTTGTAACACAATGAGGTTGAACATATTACTATCATGAAATCATGCTTAGAAGGACATGCTGCTATAGTTGTAGTTTCTAGCCATTTCTCTTCATGTTGTATAGGATATTATTTTAGTTTCTGAGACAGAATCTCACGGAGTTTTTCAGGCTGACCTCGTACCTGATTGTGATCCTCCCACCTCAGCCTCTCTCATGCTGGGATTGCAGGTGTGTGCCACCACACTTGGCTTGTGTCAGAAATTTAGAAAAGTTTTATTCTTCAGGGTTCAGCATTTCAACATCTTTCTTTATTATTGTCAACTAAACATAACTCAGATGACTTACTGGTTTAAAGTGATTTTTGGTTCATTGAACAACAAAAACAAGATTAAGATGAAAACAGTTGTCAATAGAGCAGTGATTTGAAGGGCTTCTCCAGACATCCGGTTTCTGTCTCCTAAGTCAAATCCTATCCCGGTTGCTGGTCAGGGTATAAAAATTAATATTTTGCATCATTTTTATGTTATTATTGGCATTTGTCATTTGGTACATACTTGTATGAAGGAAGGTGTTTTTTCTTAAAAGATAAGGCAGGGTCTGGGGATTTAGCTCACTGGCACAGTGCCTGCCTGGCAAGCATGAGGTTCTGAGTTTAGTTCCCCTTACCCCACCACCACCAAAAAAAGGTAAAGCACATATTAAGTTACAAATGACAAATTGTTTAGATGCAACAAGATTTCTTTTTTCAGCTTATGTGCTGCCTTACTTAATCAGTAGAAAAATGTCTTAAAAATAATTTGCTCACCTGAATATGGTGGCATGTGTCTGTAGTCCTAGTTACTTGGGAGGCTGAGGTGGGAGGATGGTTTGAGGTTAGGAGTTTGCAGCCAGACTGGGTAATGATGATACCCCCTCTCCATAAAAAACAACAATCAAAAAAAAAAAAAAACAAAAACGTAAAAATAGCTCACTTATTAAAGTGCATTGTCACTGATTTTAATTCTTTTAGTCACAAGTAGGTATGCAGAGGTTCTGATTCTTTCATAAAAATTTGTTAATATACTCAGAATACAGAGGCTACCATACTGGAAGATGGTATAGGTTAAATATATATTTTTAACACATGTAATTGCATATTCATCAATGGGCATAATGACATAATCAGATATATTGATAGAACATATAATTATATAAAATATATTTCACACATAATTATACGAGGAATAAATTCCAAACTCCTTTTTTTCTTTTCTTTTTTTGGGTGGAGGTAACTTGTGATTGCTTAGAAAGTGTTTTAGTGTTTCCAGTGACGTGCATAAAAGGCATGTGTACAGTTTCACTGGTTTAGCAGCGGACTGCTTAATTACCAAATGGTAGCTTGCCGTACTTTTTATACGGAGCACCTATGAAATGTCAGCCCCTGAATCTTTTAACGCAAAGCTCCACACTGATGTGCTTGGGTTTGGTGGAGACATTATGATTGGATTTATAGGTAGAAGGTGAACATTTGTATTAATTACAATTTTGTGTAAATAGGTTTATGAAGTCTGTATAATTTATAATAATTGCATTGTGGCCTCTTGAATCATAAAATTTAGGTTTGGTGGGGTGAAATTGAAATTGAGAAAGTAAAACCTGCCTTTAATATAGTATGTTAGATTTATCAAAAAATGTGTGGAAGAGAGATGAATTGAGGAATTAGGAGAAATTACTTTTCCTTACATGTGAAGAAACACATTTAATTATCTTAACTAAATATAAATTTTTTTTATAGTTTCTGTGGATGATTTAGATCTTCATGTAATGTTTTTCGTGTGACTGAAATCCTGCCCTTCGCATGCTTTACATTTTACCATCATTAATTATTATTAGTTATACATTCGTAGACATACTATTTTTCCATTGCTTTCTTAGTTTCTAAAATTGTGAAAGCACCATTGCACATGTATAAAGGACTCGGAGGGTAAGGAGAATAGCAGGTGATTAAGCCTGAGGCAGTCGGTGATAAAAATGAAAAAAATTCTTATGCTGATCTGCTCCACAAAGTATGTTTTTTTTTAAAATCTGTTTTGCTAGAGTGTTGCTCATTCTCACATTAAAAAAATTTTTTTTTTGATTTTATTTCTACAGAATTGGCTTCATTGTAAAAATAATCTTTTTGATACTTCAGTGAAGGATATCAAAAAAATAAAAGGAGATATTAAATTCCTAGTAAGATCAAAAGATTCCTAAATTTTAGATTCTGTATTTAAAATGTTAATTTTGTCAAAGTAACATACATACACACTTAAAAATCAACCAGCTTTGTCAAAAAGACTTGCAAAAAACGCCACTTTGCTTTTTCTACATTTTGCAATTCTTCAAATCTACTCCTGAGAGGGAATCACAGTTTTAGCAGTATAAATATTCTGTTGTTATGCAGCTTAGTAATACAAGGCGTTGGCTGGGACTGTGGTGTAGAGTCAAGGAGTTTACATGTGTTCCTGTCTCCTTCCAACCTGGATTCCCTTCCACTTTGTTCCTCTTGTCTTGTGATACGTATATATCATAACGTTGGCCAGTTTCTGGTTAGTGTTTACATCCCTACGACAACGTTCACTGCACAGGTCAAATGGTGTGCTGTGTTCGTTTCCTTCTGTAGTCGTTCTTCTTGAATTGTAAATGCTTGTTTATTTGCCTGATCTTCTGTATACTTTAAATATTTTCATGTTACATGTAAATTGGTTACATGTCATGTCCATTACATGTGTATGGAAATTATTTTCCACTTACCTTTACCCATCTCTTGATCCTCCACCTCTTAAGAACAACGCAACAAAAATAGAGTATGAGAAAGCAAAAGGAGAAAAAAGGCCAGGGAACCAGTCTGCTCTGCACCTTCTTACAAACATGAAACTTAAGAAAATCCTTATACCTTTTTGTCAAAGGCCTTACGTTTGATTTGGACAGAAAGACATTTGTATAAAGAGAAGCAAGACAGTGTGTTGTGTCCTGATTAAAAGGCACGGGTGTTTTGGGAGTTCAGAACAAATGTATCATGTTCAGCCAAAGAGATCGGGGCAGACAGTGTCACGTTAGTTCAGCTGGATGAGGAGAGTGCCGAAGGGTAAAAGGCATTCTGGAGGGAAGGGACGGTGGAGGCGGGAAGGTATGCACTGCCTGTGGGTAGTTGTGGTTTCATACAGTGTGGTTGGATGTAAGGTTGGAAAGCTAAATTCGGGTTCATCTTAAGAAATTGGAATGCCCTAATGATGGTAATGATAGTGATCGCTGACATTATTGAGTGCTTACTGTTTGCCAGTCACTCTTCAAAATGCTTTATATGAGTTAACTCAATTCATTTAGTAGTTCCCACCCTGTGATACAGGTTTGGTTACTCTTCTGTTTTACAGTTGAGGAAGCTGCACGTTGAATAATGTGTCCTGTATGACACAGTGAGAAAATGGTAGAGCTAGAATTTGAATCTAGTCAGACTCTAGATTCTGTATTCTTAATAGGGAACTTTAATCTAGCCAGTGGGAAGCTAAATTCTACTTTTTCTTTATTTAAAAATCCAAGAAGGGACTGAGCAGACTTAAGGATTCAGACAGTGTGTTTAAAAGAAGCAGATCCTGCCAATGTAAAATGAGGGCGTTTCAGCCGACTCTAAAATTAACGTTGAATATCACTATTCTGAGAATGGCAGGCAAAAAGAACCAAAGGAATAGATGCTTTTGTTCCATTTAAAAATGTGTAAAGTATTTCAGTGAGACATTAGCTATGATCAGTATTTGCCTGCCTTGTTTAATTTGATTGTCACAGTTTTAAGAATTTTTATTTTAGTATTATGAAAATACAGTTTGTATGTTGAAAGAATAAAAATGGTATCACTATAAGTATTTCTTAAAAAATAGATGATTTGGTGTCACTGAATTTCAGTTGTCCTATTACAAGGTCTCTGATTTCTGAAATCAAGTTGAGGTGTGTTTTACGTATGAAATTAAAGGTGTCTTTTACATGCTTTGCGTTTTGGTTGTCGCTGCCATGTGGACACAGGCGCACACTCAGGCGAGTTCATATATGGCTTGGAAAACTTGGTTTACAAGGACGTCAAGCCCGGTGGGTATGCATGGTTCATTATTTCCGACTATACAGAGTTACAGAGCTTGTGCTTTTAGTGGAGTCCGTTTGATGGTGTGCCATCCTTTCAAAAAATATGGAAATGTAATTCCTGCTTTCCCCTTTGCCATCATTTCCTCTTCCCGCTTCTCCAGCCATTCATTCATTCACTAAACATTGGATTATTTGTGGCAAGCATGATGCTGGGTGCCCAGTGTTCAAGGATAAACAGGCACAGTTCACTGCCCTTGTGAAATTCACAGTTTAATCTGTTGATTACTGTGAAATTTGTACTGCCTTTGGGACTTTAGCTTTGTAGCACAATAGTACAGTTTCTCATTTAAGTACTTCCTCTGTCCTGTAGCCTTGGTTTTCAAGCTTATAAAAAGAAACAAAATGGATTTTTTGGGGGCAGGCAGGAGCAATACCGTATTCAGAACTTTGATAGAAGATATCCTTTCAGCGTTTCTTCTGATACTCTCCCTGGTCTGTTTGACTTTGGACTTAATTCTGGGGGCATCTCTAGACTGCTGAGCGCACTGATACTTGAAGCTTCACCAGGGCGATTGA